GGGGGCGGTGGCGGTGTAGTGAGAAGACAGAAACACAGCCAAATAGTTCATGAGGCCTCTTCTCTTCAAATGAAGCCATATTTAAGTGTTTTTAAAAAGGGGGGGGAACGACGACTTCTCAACCAACTGGCCCTCCAAGAATACACATGGCCACAAAACGTTCATGGGAAGTTACCTTGAAACGAGATTCTCCCGACCCATAGACTACTTGAATGTGGAGGGGGAAAAAAAAGTGTCGGCCAAGTGCTTGGCCGGTGACCCATTCAGACTCCGAAGGAACCGCGGGAGGCCAGCAGAGATTCCCCTCTTGCTCGGAACAACCCCCGAGTCGGGAAAGGGGCAGAGAGAAAAGGGAAAGGGAGCTTCCGTGCCCACCGCCTCACAACTTTTTGCGACCGCATCAGGGCGGCAAAGGCGAGAGGGAAAGAGTCAACCTGGCCCCCCTTCCAGGCCCAGACCTTCCCCGACGCAACGTGCACCTCCCCCGGGCCGCGGGAACTTGCGCGGAGAGTGGCACCAGCGCCGCCCGCGCGCAGAGTTGGCGCTCCTAGTGTAGCGGCGCGGCGGCAGCGGCGGCCACGGCAGCTCCAGCCCGGGCATCGGAGGGAAGCGCTCGCCGCTCGCTCCCCCTCCCCTGGTGTTGCGCTCCGCCTGCTTGCCTGGCAGCGGCAGCAGCAGCAGCAGCGGCTTCTTCGCCGCTCGCTCCCCCTCCCCTGGTGCTGCGCTCCACCTGCTTGCCTGGCGGCGGCGGCGGCAACAGCTTCTTCGCCGCTCGCTCCCCCTCCCCTGGTGCTGCGCTCCACCTGCTTGCCTGGCGGCGGCGGCGGCAACAGCAGCTTCTTCGCTGCTCGCTCCCCCTCCCCTGGTGCTGCGCTCCGCCTGCTTGCCTCTCTCTCTCTCTCTTTCTTTCCCCCGTGGCCCGCCGCTCTGAAATTACCGTAACTTGCGAGTTCCTGCTCAGCTGTCGACCGGCGTTATCAGCTCCCCCGAGAGGCCTCTGGCTCGGGGAGCGCCGGGTGTGCCTGGAAAGGCGGGAGGGGGGAACCGAGCGGCGGCCACCAGCATCGTTCCCTGGGCAGCTGAGCCGACCACATGTCTCCCTGAGCCAGTCCAGCGGGGGTGGCAGCCGGCAGGGGCATCGCTCCCTGGGCCGTCCCTGGGCAGCCGAGCCAGAAGCCTCAACTCCAGCCTCCCACAGCAGGCTAAGATAGGTGAGTCTGCAGCTCCTTCTCCCCGTCGGCCTCCTCCTCCGCTCCCTGGGAACCTTCGCGCCAAAAGGCGGAAAGAAGAAAGTCCCAGAGAGGGAGAGCGTGGGGTGGGGGGAGAGCAGTCTTTTCCAAGGGGAGGAGAAGCCAGGACGGAGCTGGACGGGGGGCAGATCCGGTGCAAGTTTTGCCTTAGGCTCCACTCTTTAAATCAAGCCTCCTGTTCTGCGCGCATACGCGCATGTGCACATGCACGCACGCGCGTATGTGCGCACAAATTATGCGGCTCCCAGTTTTTTCTTTTGTGAGCTGACTCGAGTATAAGCCTAGGGGGGCATTTTTCAGCTCAAAAAATGGGCTGAAAAACTCGGCTTATACTCGAGTATATACGGTAATATTAAACCAATTGCATGTATTTTAGAATTTATGACTGCTTCCCATGCATTTAATCATTTCTCCCAGTTGCTGCATTCAAGATTTCAGGGGGTTGTTCAACACTGAATTCACCTATGGGGAGAACCACAATGTGACGGTTAAATTTGAGGGTGAAGGAATGCAAAACAACGGTAATTCTTCTTCAAAGATTAATAAAGTCTTAGCATTAAATAGAATCTTGAATATGAAACCTTTAGTTTGCCTAACACTCTTAACCCATACAGTAAAGTTATGGATCACTTTAACCAGGATTCATGCTAAATTCAAGCCAACCAACCATATCATAGCTTAAAAACCTAGGCGACACATTATTCTAAGCCAACAGTTGATTTATTTTGGCACAACATGATGTTTTGGCCTCCCCCCTTTGCTTTTCATGCTG